TCAAGATACAAAACAATGATGTCAAAGTCCTTTTGACCTTTAAAATCATAGGTCTAACTTATTTGGGACTTTGATTGTCCTGCTTGACCTTCTCAGTGGCTTTTGATTTGGTGACTCAAGATTCTGACCATCTGGATTCTCTATCTCAGGAGGTCTAGGATTTAAATCATTAACTCCAGAATTGACATTTTCTGACTCTAGACCACTTGGTTCACTCATATCAACAGAACTTGGTTGTGGAACAAACTGAGTTGGTGTGAACTGTTCAGATTTGGTGGGATTGACAGATTCACACTTATTATCTGCACAAGTTATTTTTAACTGGTCTGCATGTCTACAGACAATAAGTCCATCATTTGTTTTTACTTTATAAGACACAGGTCCTGTACATTGAACAATTTGACCTGGTATCCATTTTTCCCTTCTCCCATAATTTCTTAGATACACATTCTCATTATATCCAAATTCTCTTCAATGGATGTTTTGTCATGATTTAATGGAACTATTTTTGAATTGTCATCTGGAAGTATTATGCTGTTATTCAGATCCTTGACTGACATAGATTTCTTTGATTGATCAATTTTCTCAGGTAATCTGATAGTGCTTTCCTGGTAACTAAAAATACTGTTTACAAGTAATATCCTGGACCATATCAATTTGCAACTGTGATCCAGTATTTGAAGTGAGTGTATTAAATGGCAAAAATCTTTTTTTTTCTTTTGATGTTACCCTTTTAGTTTCTGTAAGTGCTAATGATGTTAGCAAAGTTGTTTGATGATCACATTCCTTCTTATTTAAAGCATTTGAAATTGCCATATCACCATAATCATTTATTAAGTTACAAATACTTTGTTTAGGTAACTCTGACTGATAAAGGACTACATCTTCTCCATCTTTTAGACTTAATTCCATTTTTCTTATTTTACATGGCTTTAAGTCATCATTCACTGACTCTTCAGGCCAACCATTCTTACAGTACTCATATACTTTTATTAAGCACTCATCTTTTTGTGTTTCTCTTTTAATATCATTCACATTTATATTGGAGTTATCCATGATAGTGAAGAGAACAAATACATCTTCTGGTATATAGCTAAGGCTTTGGTTTTTTAAAGGTAAATGACTAAGACTATCTGCACTATTCTCAGATCCAGGTTTGTATCTCAATTCATAATTGTATGCAGTTAGTGTGATAGCCCACCTTTGAATTCTTGGTGAGGCATGCTCAGGTAGGGTTTTGTTTTCTCCATATAAACCCAGCAATGGCTTATGATCTGTAAAGATGGTGAACTTCCTACCAAACTGAAACTTATGAAATTTCTTAACACCAAAAATGATGCCTAAGCCTTCCCTATCTAACTGAGAATAATTTTTCTCAGCCTGGTTCAAAGATCTTCTGGCAAAAGCAATGGGTCTGTCACCCTTTTCATCCATGTGGGACAAGACTGCTCCTACACCATCTGGTGAAGCATTACATGTTAATATAAGTCTTTTCCCTGGGTCATAGTGAGTTAGTAAGGTGTCAGAAGACAAAGCTTCTTTTGCTGTATTAAAAGCAGCTTCTTGTTGTTTACCCCAGTGCCAAGTTGCATTTTTCTGCAGCAGCTTGTACAGTGGTGATAGTTTACCAGACAGATTCCCTATGAACTTTGCATAATAATTTATCAAGCCCAAAAAAGCTCTTAGTTGTTGGGTATTTTCAGGTTTGGGTGCTTCTTTAATGGCTTTTGTTTTCTCAGGTTGAGGTCTGATACCTTGCTTGCTTAATATATAACCAAGAAAACTAATTTCTGTCAGCATGAATTGACATTTATCTTTGTTTATCTTTAAACCTTTTTCACCAACTATTTTCAAGACTTTATCAAGTGTTTTAAGATGTTCAGTGTCATTCTTACCAGTTATGTACACATTGTCAAAGTAAACACAAACATTTGGAATGTCCTTAAAAATACTGTCCATGACAGCTTGGAAAATTCCAGGACTAGATGATATGCCAAAACATAGTCTTTCATATTGGTAGAGTCCTTTATGAGTGTTTATTGTCGTATAGACTTTTGAATCTGGATGCAGTTCTAGTTGAGTGTAAGCATGACTAAAGTCTAATTCAGTGAATTTGTCTCCTCCTGCCAAATTCAAAGAAATTTCCTCAATGTTAGGAATAGGGTACCTATTTAGCTCTATTTGCTTATTCAGTGTAGCTTTATAGTCTCCACAAATTCTTATAGAACCATCCTTCTTTAACACTGGCACAATGGGCGTTGCCCAATCGGAATAGTCTACCTTCTTTATGATGCCATTAGATTCCAATCTACTTAGCTCATTTTCAGTTTTATTCCTCATTGCATAAGGTGGAACTCTAGCTTTGTAGTATCTTGGATTTGTGTCATTAATGCTTATCTTCACTGTTCTATCATTTAGTAATCCTGGATTACTAAAAACACATTTATTTTCAGATATAACTTTATCTATTGATTTAAGACTAGATTCTCTTGCATTGATCAATGAACATATACTCTCCCAATTTAACTTAAGATCACTTAACCAGTTCCTACCTAGTAATGGTGGTCCATTTCCTTCAACCACAAGAAGAGGAAGTTTAACACTTTGACCATTATAACTTACATGAACCATACACTCTCCTATCACCGGAACATTGTCACCAGTGTATGTTGTTAGACACTTGTGACATGGTTGTAGAGGCACTGATCCTCCCGTGACAGCGTCAAAATCCTTCTTTGTGATGACTGTTAGAGATGCTCCAGTGTCAAGTTCTAAGCTGATGCTCTTACCGTTGATATAAACTGGTACATTGATGGGAGCATGACTTTTTGATTTCACAGAGAACAGGTTGAAATCCGGCTGCGAATCAGTTTGAGTATTTTCACAGGTAGAGTGGTTCATTGGTTGGGCTAGGTAGTCTTGGTGAGAGTTAACATAGTGCTGCCTTTGGTTGCGGTACTGTCTTGACTGGCTAGATTTAGCAACAGACGAAGACTTTGCAAAGCAGGCCTTGGCAATGTGACCTTGCTTACCGCACTTATAACAAGTTGCTGACTTGAACTTGCACCGATGAGATGCATGGGGACCTTTGCATCGATGACATTTTTGATAATTATTACTAGATTTAGATCTAGGCTTTAAACGTGCAGGCTGTTTAGCATAAGTTGGAATGCTCTGATGGGGTTGGGGTTTGTTGACTAACCTGCTGTTTACTGCATGGATCTCTGAAGGTGCTAGAGATTTTGCCGCATCTGATGACTGCTGGAATGAAGTTGCAAGTTGTATTGCTTTTTCTAATGTTAGATCCGACTCGAGCAGCAACTTTCTTTGAATATCAGGGCTGTTTACACCTGTCACAAACTTTTCACATAGTCTGTCAGACAGCGTATCGCCGAATTCACAAAATTTACTTAAATGACGTAAAGCAGCAACATATTCTGATATTGACTCGTTTGGTTGACGAGTCCTACTGTCAAATCTAGCTCTACATAAAAACTTTGATGGGGTAGGCGCATGGTGGTCTGTTAGCAGTTTGCTCAGCTCGTTAAAGCTCTTGGTATCTGGACTAGCTGGTGCGCATAAGTCCTTTAGTAGCCTAAATTGTTGAGGCCCTATGACTGTTAACAAAACAGCTCTCTTTTTGGCTTCTATCGTCACGTCGTTAGCTTCAAGGTAAAAGCTTAACCTCTCTAGATAATCATGAATGATTTCATCATTCGAATCAAATTCTTTTATTTGGCCATACAGCGCCATTATCCTAGAAATACTTAGCCAATATGCTCTAGCAAACCTCTTTTTGAGTAAGTAGGTGCTCTTTCTAGTGGATCATTTATCCTCGTCGCCAGATATAATAGATTGACGATAGAAGCATGTGATTGTATATAAAAAGTTTATTGGGCCTTCGCTACATGATGGAAGAGAGAGGACGGAAGTGACGAGAGACACATATATTTATAAACATGTAAGGGACATCACTCAAGATAACAATATAAATATAATACTAATACAGAAGAGTGAGTTTCCTTGACTTCACAAGTCTCACTATATTACAGGCGCCTTTTTGGAAACTTTTTAAACTCAAAGTTTTAAACAATGATATCTATTAAAAAATATTTTTGGTCGGCACATCTATGTAAATCACAAGATTTCTGTTCATGCAGCAATTAAGCGTTATTGTACTAGTCTAGTAGTGTCTACGTTTACAACACGTATTAACAGCTGTATCAATTTGCCATTCTAAAAATAACCATTACGATGCATTGGAATTTTTAAAAATCCTCTACCGGTAGTACCACTCGGCAAGACATGTGTTAAGTTTAAGGTAACTGTATAATGTAAAGAGTTTGGCCGCACTTCGGGCTTTGACCGTAACATATATATATATATATATATATATATATGTGTGTGTGTGTGTGTGTGTGTTACGGTCAAAGCCCGAAGTCGGCCAATGCTAGGATTGGCCGGCCAATCCGCGCATTGGCCAATATCGCCTCCCATAGGTCGGTCAAAGTCCGAAACTTTGCTTGGTGGACCGGCCAAAGTCTTAATTAGAAGATCATCTGGCTAGGGATATCCGGCCAAAGTCCGAATTAGAAGATCATGAGCAGATTTTGGTGTTTTTTTTATGCCGTAAGGATCATGAAATTAAGTCTTTATTGATTATTAATTAAAGTAAATGATAGAAACATTCAAATTTTTTATTGTACTATAGTCTCAATCTATTAATATCATCATTTGTTACAATTTGAACTTTTATGGCATTTAGAATTTTTATTTAGAATTGTTATTTTTACACTTGCAGCGATTTGTTGTGCACTTAGTTGTGCAATTGCAGCCTGCGTTTACACACGGGTAACGTTGCAAGGGTGATAAAATATGCAGTTATATTGTGCTGTCTGTAGAATGTGTGTTACTAATTCTGTGATCAGAATTAAATTTTAAACAGGAACAGTTTATCCGATTATTAATTCAATAAGGCAGAGTTACATGCACCTAGCAACATGGCGGCGTCCAGACAAGTAATTGTCGAGTCGAATGAAAAAGTTTTGGATTTTATAGGTCAAGAGGAATCATCTGATAGTGACAATGAAACCGAACCCGCTCGAATATTCCACAGACGTATTTCAACGAATAAGGATATTAAAACTGCCGTACGTTTATGGTTTAAACTATTTTTGCGCGGTTGCTAATCAAAACTGGAAAAAAATCTCTAATTTTAGAAGTTTAGCCTAGTTAGTTTAAAGTTTAAATAACGTAACAGTAAAATTAAGTCTAGATCTAGGCCTACTACAAGATCTAGAGTACTACTAACTACTAACTTAGTACTCAGTAGTAAGTAGCCTACTTAGTAGGCCTACAGATACAGAATAACAAAGTATAGACCTATCTACTTTGAATATAGTAGATCTAGATCCATAGTAGTAAGTATAGGCCCTACCCTATTATAGCCTGGCCTACTAACTATAGTATAGATAGACTGATATAGAGGATAGGCCTAGAATATAGAATCTGACTACTATATTCTAACAAGATAAAAATTAAAAATAAGTAGTTAAGTTATTTAAGCCTAGTTCTAAATTTTACAAGAGGTTTTAATTGATTTAAAATAACAATCAATGACCCATACAATTTAAAGGTAAAACTCCGGTAATCTAGCGTTTTAGGTACGTAAAATCGCCAGCGGCTAGTAGATCTAATGTCCGATTAAGTTACCTCATTGTAAAGGCTTTAGAATAGAAGTATATTGCGATATATTTGTGTAGGCCTATATATAAATGAATAATAAACCTAAATCAATGGTTAAATAATAAATATAATTAAATATAGGCCTATATCAATATAGGCAAGAAATTAACTTTAAACAGCAGTGTTTGCGAGCAGGATTTGCTATATAAAAAGCGGCCATCTGGAAGTTAGAGTGGCTTCCCCTGAATCTTGCGCTGGCTATAAGTTTACAATAAAAAAAAACTAAACAAGATGGCTACAATAGTAAATGAGCATGGTTGCATCTGTTGGAAACATCGCTAATCTTCATTTATCACTGAAAAGTTTTAATTCAAGGAAACATGTTTGTATTTTTCAAAACATAAATCCTTCTCAAAATGTGAAATAATTATTAAAATTTAAGGAGTCCACTGTTTTTCACATTACTAGTCGCAGGCGATTTTACATACCTAAAACGATAGATTACCAAAACTCCATTTTAGCGTATTATATTCGCTGCTTCACGTTCACCTCCGGTTGAGTGAATTTTATTATAAACACAACCAAAACACACAAAAACGTTCGGAAATCACTGGGATTAGAGCTAGATCTACTTATTTGTTTTTATAAATGTGAGTTTTAATTAGAAAAGGTAAAAAAAACCATAAAAAGAATTAGGACTGTTCCAATTAAATAGCGTGTAATTGTCAGCGGGAGAAAAATCCCTACTTGGTTGAGGGTTCACCATGAGTTCATTTTGACTTTAATTATCAGCATATGTCATAGCTTGGGCTATTTGAAATGGTTGGGTTAGGTGTTGGTCTCAGTTTTGTGGTCATTGTGAGTTCATAAAAGCTTATTTAATATTTATTGTATCATGCGTGGGAGATACTTGTAACAATACAAACGTTACCGCCTTGCAATTGTGAGTTTCGTACTTCACCCATTGCCATGAACACACGAACATATCACATTCAATATTACAAATTTGGATTTTGGAAGTTTTGACAAAAGTAAATTATCAAATACTAAAACAAAAGTTCATAAAGAAATAAACCCAATGTTTTCCTACCGTTTTTGTGTGTTTCAGTTGTGCTTATAATAAAATACGCTCAACTGGAATTGAACGTGAAGTGGGGAATAAAATACGCTAAAATGGAGTTTTAGTTTTACCCAATTTAAAATATCTTGAAACTAACTTTAAATAAGGTGTTTTAGATAAATAAATATTAGTAAATAAAAACAGCAGCCATCTTTCCAAACAAAAATTAGAGTAGTTTCCCTTGACATTAATGTCTATTCGTATGTATTTAGTGCTGACTTTGTTGTTTAATATACATTATAACTGTCTTGTTTAATATAAGTAGGACAGTGGGTCAAATTCTTGTCTTTTATTTCAATTGAAATGAAGGCTATGTATGTATGAACATCCAAGACCTCAAAAACTTTTGGGAGGTCCAACATTTAAACCCTTTTGTACTGATTAACTTGTCAATTATTATGTCGTCCATATTCCTCAAAAAAAAATGTTGGACTCAAAGTATAAATATGGGAGGAGTAAACTATTTTTTTTTGAATAATAAAATGATGAAGAACATATTCGTTTTCATCAGAAATTGTGATTAAGGGTTGGGGTATAGTAGCACTGCGAAATGATATTAACTCAACGATCTGGTGATGTTTGGGGGAGAGGGAAATCATCAGGAAAAGTATGACGACATTAATGGGCGATCCATTTAAGCCTAGTTGTTTATTTTTGCCTGTAGACATTAGTCTTGTCAGAAGTTATTTCATTTGGAGCCTAGTGTTGCCTATTTTCAATTTTCTTCGGTAAGCATTTAGTTTCAGGCCTTTTTGGCGGTGATTATGTGCTGAGGTTGTTAATAGTTATGATTAATTATTATGAGCAAAGGTATGCATGAAAACTAACACTTTATGTTCTTCATTTTCATTGAGCATAGCCTGTATAGAAGCCTTCCCTAATTGACATCACACATCCCCCCATCACCGTTTCATTATAGGTCATAAATTGCTGTCCTGCGCAAGTTGACGTCACATTAGCATAGCTTATGTGACATCATTTATGGACAACCCCCATATCACTCATTTTGGGTATTTGGTATCAACATTTGACAACAAAAGTTATTCAAATGTGTATGAAATGTTAGGACTTGAGATCTACCATAAATGATATCACACACTCAAGGGGTGGAGTAACTGGTTTTTGAGACATTTTACGTATGAAGGGGAGGGGTAAGAAACATGAAATGTTATGTATTTCGCCTAATACAAAAATGCAGATAAACTTTATTTTTCGTTAAAATTATGACTTCTTAAAAGGCATGGCAAAAAAGGTAATTTTCGACATTCCGACTATTTTGTGACGATGTAAATGGGAGGGGCTTTAATGTGAAGTGCGGTAAAAAAACGTGACCTCATTTATGGTTAAATCGATAATTAATGGGAAAAACCATGAAAACAAGAAATGAAAATAGCAAACAAACAATAACAATAAACTCAAACTAATATTTAAATAAACATTAGATCTAGTAGTTGTAGCTCTACGAAAATCGAGACTTTCTTAATGTATAAAAATTGCATCTCATAATAATAATTCAGTCAATTAAATTGTTTAAAGGGCAGAATTAAAAAAAAAACCACATGTATAATGTATTTAACAAGACAATCGTATTTAATAGCAAATAGCAATACATTTTCAAGCAAATAGAAATTACAGGGAAATGACTCAAAATAATATTTTCTTAAGATGGCCGCTATTTTTAATGGCAAATTTGGTAACTGGAACATGATTGTTAAACCTTAATTTCAGGACATTTTTATTGATTTAACCCTTAACTGTGGTTTAATATTCAATTATTTTTAGTACAATATGCAAAAATATATTCATATTTAAATCCATATTCATTAGTTACCTTATCCCTACATTACTAGAGCCAGTCTAATTGATTACACTAAAACGATATATTACACTAGTTAAATATTAGGGTAAAGAAGGGCATTATGATCCACATTTTTTAGTACCTGTACAATACTGTACATTTTTAAAGATTTTTGCTAATCCAAGTATTTTCTAATATTGAAATGGGTCTCTGACATGATGCTGACATGACGGTCACTGCGACCTTTTTTCCAAGGCTTAATGTTACTTTATCATGAGCTAGCAGTGTAGTTAAGTTGTAGTGATCTAAATACAATTTCTTAACTAATACTAGGATCGCATGTAAAGCAGTCTTGTTTAATATTTTGATGATGTCACCGACATTCTTGAATCGGTCAGATACAAACTTCTGTACTTCTAATCCCCCTTCAGTTAAACTGTTTTTGAAGTCTAACCAGCCCCTCCTTTTAACTACGACACTTGTGTGAACTCACTGTGACCCTAAGCTCATATTTGTTATTGCTTGGCTGGCTGTAGGGGGGGGGGGGGGTAAATAAAAGTAGCATCACAATTCTTGCTATTACGTATTAAACAGGCAGACTAATTCTAGACTACCATAACCTCACTGTGGCCCCTAAACCATGTTTTGTTTGGGGGGAGGGATACCAGCAATTTTTTTTTATTGCTGACAGAAGTTTCTCAGCTATAAATATAAAGCACAAACATGGAATGATGTTGTTACATGGGCTACAGAATGTTTTATTGTTTGCTCCAATTTTTCATATCGAGTAGACAATTTCCAAAACATTATTTATTATATCTAGGACCTAGGGTAAATAAATATACTACTCAACAAGAGCTGACCAAAATTAATAAATTACATTATTATTATTCTTTTTAAGAATTTTCTCTCACTAGTATGCAATACTATTTTAGTAATAGTTTAATTGAAAACATAATGCAAGTAGATCATGAACAGATTACATAAGTTTAATGTTGGAAACAAAATGCTTTCATCCTTTTAATTAATTGTTTTAATTGTTGAAATTTTTGGGGCAGCCTTAGATGTTATTTTCTGCCAGTTTGGCTAGAGAAAGTTCAATCGTCTAAAATAAATGTCATTATAATGTAAGTAATTGAGAGCACAAAAGGTGTATCATTTTATAAATTAGTCGCTAAAACATCTGTTATTAAATCTGGAATTTTTCCAAAAAAGTCTGGAAAATGTCTGAAAAAAAGTCAGAATTTCATTTTCAAAAAGTCGTACGAACCCTGATTATGCTTGAGATGGTTCTAAAAACATTTTAAACTCATTTATTACAGGCACAAGACTTTAAATATTAATTTTAGTCTGAAGAATTTTACAAAGATAATGAGGCCTCTAAAGGAATGTGTAGCGAGCATAATATGAACAAAAAGTTATGAAATAATTGGCGATTTTGTTTTAAAATCAATGTGACATTAAGTTCAGTGTTTTAAAATCAATGTGACATTAAGTTCAGTATTTTAAAATCAATGTGGCATTAAGTTCAGTGTTTTAAAATCAATGTGACATTAAGTTCAGTGTTTTAAAATCAATGTGACATTAAGTTCAGTATTTTAAAATCAATGTGGCATTAAGTTCAGTGTTTTAAAATCAATGTGACATTAAGTTCAGTGTTTTAAAATCAATGTGACATTAAGTTCAGTGTTTTAAAATTTTCAGATTTTGGTTTCAGGATTGGTAAAATTATGGGATTGATTTTCTGGATTGGTAAAATTATGGGATTGATTTTCAGGATTGGTAAAATTATGGGATTGATTTTCAGGATTGGCATAAAAAATGAGTGGCACCCCTGTAGATGTAAAAAGGGGTGGTACTAACTAATCTCCTTATGCTTTCCCCTGATAAGCCATGTGTGCTATACATCATGACATGGAGGTGAAAAATATTGATGGGAGAGCAGTGGCACTGATTTACCCTTTATTCTCCCTGCTGTACCCTGAGGGCCATAAATTACATAAGACGTGCTATCTCTGGTTGGCTTAGGGTTAGGGTTAGATCTAAGAGAAGCAATCCATGTTACCTACAAAGGGATTAGAAGTTTCATGGTAATTACATAATGGTTTTGAGGAGGTGAGGAATTTTGAGTGGAGGGTAGTGGTAGGCAGGCGGATTCCTCTTTGATCTCCTCCCTGCTGGACCATGATGGTCATAAATGACAAAACATGCCATTTCTGATTGGCTGATATCTAATTCCTGGGACTGTTGGGTTACCAGTCCTGGGACTGTTGGGTTACCAGTCCTGGGACTGTTGGGTTTCCAGTCCTGGGACTGTTGGGTTACCAGTCCTGGGACTGTTGGGTTACCAGTCCTGGGACTGTTGGGTTACCAGTCATGGGACTGTTGGGTTACCAGTCCTGGGACTGTTGGGTTACCAGTCCTGGGACTGTTGGGTTACCAGTCCTGGGTCTGGGTTACCAGTCATGGGACTGTTGGGTTACCAGATTTGGGACTGTTGGGTTACCAGTCCTGAGACTGTTGGGTTACCAGTCCTGAGACTGTTGGGTTACCAGTCCTGGGACTGTTGGGTTACCAGTCCTGGGACTGTTGGGTTACCAGTCCTGGGACTGTTGGGTTACCAGTCCTGGGACTGTTGGGTTACCAGTCCTGGGACTGTTGGGTTACTAGTCCTGGGACTGGGTTACCAGTCCTGGGACTGTTGGGTTACCAGTCAATTATTTTCATTTATATATATAGATTTTTGAAATTTTTTTTTACAGACATGTATCAAAGATGGATTGCTTTTTAAACAAACCACATCATTTAATGTAAGTAGACTTGAACTTTTTACCAAACAACTAACCGATTAAGATTTTAATTAAATTAAAAACAATAATGAGACAACCATTTTAGAGTGCAGCTGCTGTGAGCTATGAAAGTGACGTCATATTTGACTAGGCTTGCTGTGATTCTCATTAATCCCTTTTTAAGTGTAAGTAGCACTTTCAACTACTACAACTTACTCTGGTGGAAGACAAGAAAATAACTGAATATGTAAAATTAATCACCTGTTAGTCCCCAATAGAATTCCAACATGATTCATAGCTTGTAGTTACTTAACATATTCTTTGATAATTTTGTTAGTTATATTTCGTTTTCACGGATTATTTATTTTTATTTCTTCAATGTGCAAAAGAGATGTGTGATTATATCAATTAGTATCAGTTTTAGGCCTATATATATCTAAAATATAAAGTTGGAATGGACTCTGTGGCTCTGTATGTTATAGCGGACGAACCAGTGGTACACATGCATATAGTTAAAAACTCGACTTGATCGCAATAGTGTAATATTCTTAAAGCGTTTACTATCTAAATTAATGATTTAAAACATTAACATTGATAGTTTTGTAAAAGCAAGTTTCATTTTTCAAACTTATCATTTTAATTAATGTCATATGCAATGAACAAAATAAAATAAAATGTAACACCCTTCGCAAAAATGTAAAAAGCGTACAAGTTACTTCCCTTTGTTCCTTTAGTATCCATTATTTTACTTGTAAGATAAAAAAAAAATTACTTCCCTTAAATAACATTACATCAGGAAAAAAAATGCTTTATTAGTTTGTTTTGGTTGTGGGAAAAAAATTATATAATTAACATGGATTGATAAAGTGCAATATGGTAGTGGTAGGTAAAACACTAATATTTTAAATGCTGCCTTTAATATATTTACTAGGTGTCGGTACTCGTTACATGTGAATTATAGGTGTTTATTTTTTTAATGTTATACATTTTTAGAAGAATATTTTATAAAAATAGTTATTGGTCAATACGCAATGTGCTTTACTACAGGTTTAACGATATTAGTGACAAAGCAAAGAAATAACTAAATAGCTAAAAGTCCGACACATTTAAAATAACATAGGCTACTAATACCTATTAGAAAAAAAAAGCCAAATTATATACATAATTAGCCAACAAAACACCATATTAAATGCACACAATTAAAAGACTTAAATGATTCCGTTAAAAACCCGGCTTTTCAATGGTATTTATGTTGTATTTTAAAGTAATTTGTATTAGTTTTGGCCGAGGAAATTGTATAAATTTCATAAATTACGTCTTGATAAGTAAATCTATAGATCTAAATCAAATTTTAATGAAATAGTACATTTCTTGGTATTCTAAAATTGGAAGATGACTCCATTGGTTTTGTGTACTTTCTGTACTTCAAACATATGACATGTGACGGCAGCTTTTTCGACGTTCTTGTCACAACTATAAACACTTTTCCGGCTGCATAATTAAAACTTTTTCTTAATTTTTTTTATTTTTCTTCTTTAAATAAAATTTTGTTTATACATTGAAAAAATCTACCATATTATTTTCAACAAAAGTTCGTATCAAGTTCTCCATATATCGCTGAAGATTTTGATGTGATAGCCTGCGAAAAAATTTTGCGGACAGAGAGAAGTGCACAAATGGGCTTTTATATATTAGGATACACTGAATGTACTGTTTACTAACTATTATTTTTACTTTCTCGTATATACGAAGTATAGAGAAAGTATTGTAATCGTGCACAAAAATCACTTAAAATTTTAACAATTTTCACCGTATTACACCTCAGTCCTTCATCACATCCGAAGTATAGAGGACTTATTTTAATCGGGCAAAAATTATCAATCCAGATTTATCAAAATTAAGAGGTTTTATGCGTAATCCAGTCTGAAAAACTGGGCTTTGCAATTCTGTCCGTATGTCTGTGTGTCTGTGTGTGTGTCCGTGTGTAAACACGATAACTTGAGTACCGTTACAGCTAGGTTGATGAAATTTCATATATAAGTATTATATCAAAATCGTAGATCCGTATCAACTTTTGAGCGATTTCCGACAACCGGAAGTGGTACTTTTTCTACTTTGAATTTTTCAAAAGCCTATAACTTGAGTACTATTTCAGATAGATAAATGAAATTTCACATGTAAGTAAAAGATCTAATTCTCTACCTTCTGTTAAATTTTGAGTAATTTCCGTTGACCGGAAGTAGTAATTTACGCTACTTCCGATTTCTCAAAAAACTAATGTAAATTTTTAAAGTACTAATAATATTGCGCACTATTACGCACATTTGGTTTTGGTGCTAGCTTGGTGCGCATTTTTTTTTCTACTAGATTTTATTCTATTTTTAAAAGTTTAAGTAAACAAAAATCATGTCTATATTCAGAGTTGACATCCCACGTAGTGTTATATTAGAATATTCGAGAAAGTTTAGGGGAGATCACTCCCGGTTTATTAACAGTTTAGAAGCCACTCCTAAATGCCTTCTATGTTTACTTCTATCTTTCGGTTTGCGAACAAGCTGGGGTAGTATAGTCCTTCACTAAATTGAGTCCTCTACAGGGTGTTATTTGGCGCCTACATTAGTTTTCAACAGTGCGAAACTGATGTATTTAATCGTTAAACAAACAAAGCAAGAGCTATATTTATTGGATCATTGTTGATGGGGCGCAGGTTTGTGCACATTACTACCCAGATGCTGGGTCAACTTGGTAACTGGTTAGGTGTTAGGGGCTTTGCCAGGCACTCTGAAGTGCCATTGGCTACAATAACTCGAGGGGCACCAAGTACAATCCATACCATGTCTCTGTTGCAGAGTGCTCTTAAAAACAAATATAGGTGCCATAGTGCTCACTGGTGAGCCTGGGGTGCTGCAGGTCACCTGACCGCTGGACGAAGGTGTACATGCCTGATTTGATTTAGGCAACAATTACAGTAGCCCACCCTGAATTTTTTTTTTTTTTACTTTTTTCTTTCAATTTAATAATCTCTTATCAAATGAATTTTAATCATTACTGGTGTTGTGTTCACAACACATTTAGTTTGATTACTCTTGAATAATGTCTTTGTAGTTGAAAACAATCCACCGACACAAAAGCTGGACATATCTATGTGATCAGTGTGTCCAATATAGTCCAAGTCATATTTAATGTAGATCTAGATTTAGTCAAATAAAATAGTAAGTAATATAAAATCCCTTCTCTTGAATATAATTTGCTATTTGGTGAAATTAACAGCCCACTTTCTGAGTGATACTAGCTGTCAAATGTTTTCTTATTCAATGGACACATAAACAAATGGACCAGATGGTGAACTAACTGCCCACTTTCCAAGTGATACTAACAGACAAATGTTTTCTTATTCAATGGACACATAAACAAATGGACCAGATGGTGAACTAACTGCCCACTTTCCAAGTGATACTAACAGACAAATGTTTTCTTATTCAATGGACACATAAACAAATGGACCAGATGGTGAACTAACTGCCCACTTTCCAAGTGATACTAACAGACAAATGTTTTCTTATTCAATGGACACATAAACAAATGGACCAGATGGTGAACTAACTGCCCACTTTCCAAGTGATACTAACAGACAAATGTTTTCTTATTCAATGGACACATAAACAAATGGACCAGATGGTGAACTAACTGCCCACTTTCCAAGTGATACTAACAGACAAATGTTTTCTTATTCAATGGACACATAAACAAATGGACCAGATGGTGAACTAACTGCCCACTTTCCAAGTGATACTAACAGACAAATGTTTTCTTATTCAATGGACACATAAACAAATGGACCAGATGGTGAACTAACTGCCCACTTTCCAAGTGATACTAACTGTCAAATGTTTTCTTATTCAATGGACACATAAACAAATGGACCAGATGGTGAACTAACAGCCCACTTTCTGAGTGATAGTAGCTGTCAAATGTTTTCTTATTCAATGGACACATAAACAAATGGACCAGATGGTGAACTTAACTGCCCACTTTCCAATTGATACTAGGCATCACAATTCTTTTTTTTTTAAAGATGACAATACTTATTGTAAAATTACTGACACTATAGAAATGGTCATGGTTTAGCACTAGTCTTGTATTTTATGCCTGAAAATAAAAGTTTTAAGCAATCTGCATACCAACCAAAAATACATTTCAAACTAATATGATTGTTTATAATTTATAGTGACATCAGTTTCCAAAAACTATATAGAAAATGGCTAAAAAGGGAAAGGTCCCCCTCCCCCCCCCCCCCCCCCCGCCCTGTATATTGAGTAAGAGAGAGAGCTTTAGTGAAATTTAAAGAGATAGGTTTAGTGACCACTTGGTCAATTTCAGAGATTTGGAGTTGTAGGAGAGACAGATCTTGTCAGATGGGGGTTGTAGGAGAGACAGATCTTGTCAGATGGGGGTTGTAGGAGAGACAGATCTTGTTAGATGGGGGTTGTAGGAGAGACAGATCTTGTCAGATGGGGGTTGTAGGAGAGACAGATCTTGTCAGATGGGGGTTGTAGGAGAGACAGATCTTGTCAGATGGGGGTTGTAGGAGAGACAGATGGGGGTTGTAGGAGAGACAGATCTTGTTAGATGGGGGTTGTAGGAGAGACAGATCTTGTTAGATGGGGGTTGTAGGAGAGACAGATCTTGTCAGATGGGGGTTGTAGGAGAGACAGATGGGGGTTGTAGGAGAGACAGATCTTGTTAGATGGGGGTTGTAGGAGAGACAGATCTTGTCAGATACGGGTTGTAGGAGAGACAGATGGGGGTTGTAGGAGAGACAGATCTTGTCAGATGGGGGTTGTAGGAGAGACAGATCTTGTCAGATGGGGGTTGTAGGAGAGACAGATGGGGGTTGTAGGAGAGACAGATCTTGTCAGATGGGGGTTGTAGGAGAGACAGATCTTGTTAGATGGGGGTTGTAGGAGAGACAGATGGGGGTTGTAGGAGAGACAGATCTTGTCAGATGGGGGTTGTAGGAGAGACAGATCTTGTTAGATGGTTGTAGGAGAGACAGATCTTGTCAGATGGGGGTTGTAGGAGAGACAGATCTTGTCAGATGGGGGTTGTAGGAGAGACAGATCTTGTTAGATGGTTGTAGGAGAGACAGATCTTGTCAGATGGGGGTTGTAGGAGAGACAGATGGGGGTTGTAGGAGAGACAGATCTTGTCAGATGGGGGTTGTAGGAGAGACAGATCTTGTCAGATGGGGGTTGTAGGAGAGACAGATGGGGGTTGTAGGAGAGACAGATCTTGTTAGATGGGGGTTGTAGGAGAGACAGATCTTGTCAGATGGGGGTTGTAGGAGAGACAGATCTTGTTAGATGGGGGTTGTAGGAGAGACAGATCTTGTTAGATGGGGGTTGTAGGAGAGACAGATCTTGTTAGATGGGGGTTGTAGGAGAGACAGATCTTGTTAGATGGGGGTTGTAGGAGAGACAGATCTTGTCAGATGGGGGTTGTAGGAGAGACAGATCTTGTTAGATGGGGGTTGTAGGAGAGACAGATCTTGTTAGATGGGGGTTGTAGGAGAGACAGATCTTGTCAGATGGGGGTTGTAGGAGAGACAGATCTTGTTAGATGGGGGTTGTAGGAGAGACAGATCTTGTTAGATGGGGGTTGTAGGAGAGACATATCTTGTTAGATGGGGGTTGTAGGAGAGACAGATCTTGTTAGATGGGGGTTGTAGGAGAGACAGATCTTGTCAGATGGGGGTTGTAGGAGAGACAGATCTTGTCAGATGGGGGTTGTAGGAGAGACAGATCTTGTTAGATGGGGGTTGTAGGAGAGACAGATCTTGTCAGATGGGGGTTGTAGGAGAGACAGATCTTGTCAGATGGGGGTTGTAGGAGAGACAGATCTTGTCAGATGGGGGTTGTAGGAGAGACAGATCTTGTTAGATGGGGGTTGTAGGAGAGACAGATCTTGTTAGATGGGGGTTGTAGGAGAGACAGATCTTGTTAGATGGGGGTTGTAGGAGAGACAGATCTTGTCAGATGGGGGTTGTAGGAGAGACAGATCTTGTTAGATGGTTGTAGGAGAGACAGATCTTGTCAGATGGGGGTTGTAGGAGAGACAGATGGGGGTTGTAGGAGAGACAGATCTTGTCAGATGGGGGTTGTAGGAGAGACAGATCTTGTCAGATGGGGGTTGTAGGAGAGACAGATCTTGTCAGATGGGGGTTGTAGGAGAGACAGATCTTGTCAGATGGGGGTTGTAGGAGAGACAGATCTTGTCAGATGGGGGTTGTAGGAGAGACAGATCTTGTCAGATGGGGGTTGTAGGAGAGACAGATGGGGGTTGTAGGAGAGACATATCTTGTTAGATGGTTGTAGGAGAGACAGATCTTGTCAGATGGGGGTTGTAGGAGAGACAGATCTTGTTAGATGGTTGTAGGAGAGACAGATCTTGTCAGATGGGGGTTGTAGGAGAGACAGATCTTGTCAGATGGGGGTTGTAGGAGAGACAGATGGGGGTTGTAGGAGAGACAGATCTTGTTAGATGGGGGTTGTAGGAGAGACAGATCTTGTCAGATGGGGGTTGTAGGAGAGACAGATCTTGTCAGATGGGGGTTGTAGGAGAGACAGATCTTGTCAGATGGGGGTTGTAGGAGAGACAGATCTTGTCAGATGGGGGTTGTAGGAGAGACAGATCTTGTCAGATGGGGGTTGTAGGAGAGACAGATCTTGTCAGATGGGGGTTGTAGGAGAGACAGATCTTGTCAGATGGGGGTTGTAGGAGAGACAGATCTTGTCAGATGGGGGTTGTAGGAGAGACAGATCTTGTTAGATGGGGGTTGTAGGAGAGACAGATCTTGTTAGATGGGGGTTGTAGGAGAGACAGATCTTGTCAGATGGGGGTTGTAGGAGAGACAGATCTTGTTAGATGGGGGTTGTAGGAGAGACAGATCTTGTTAGATGGGGGTTGTAGGAGAGACATATCTTGTTAGATGGGGGTTGTAGGAGAGACAGATCTTGTCAGATGGGGGTTGTAGGAGAGACAGATCTTGTCAGATGGGGGTTGTAGGAGAGACAGATCTTGTCAGATGGGGGTTGTAGGAGAGACAGATCTTGTTAGATGGGGGTTGTAGGAGAGACAGATCTTGTCAGATGGGGGTTGTAGGAGAGACAGATCTTGTCAGATGGGGGTTGTAGGAGAGACAGATCTTGTCAGATGGGGGTTGTAGGAGAGACAGATCTTGTTAGATGGGGGTTGTAGGAGAGACAGATCTTGTTAGATGGGGGTTGTAGGAGAGACAGATCTTGTTAGATGGGGGTTGTAGGAGAGACAGATCTTGTCAGATGGGGGTTGTAGGAGAGACAGATCTTGTTAGATGGTTGTAGGAGAGACAGATCTTGTCAGATGGGGGTTGTAGGAGAGACAGATGGGGGTTGTAGGAGAGACAGATCTTGTCAGATGGGGGTTGTAGGAGAGACGGATCTTGTCAGATGGGGGTTGTAGGAGAGACAGATCTTGTCAGATGGGGGTTGTAGGAGAGACAGATCTTGTCAGATGGGGGTTGTAGGAGAGACAGATCTTGTCAGATGGGGGTTGTAGGAGAGACAGATCTTGTCAGATGGGGGTTGTAGGAGAGACAGATGGGGGTTGTAGGAGAGACATATCTTGTTAGATGGTTGTAGGAGAGACAGATCTTGTCAGATGGGGGTTGTAGGAGAGACAGATCTTGTTAGATGGTTGTAGGAGAGACAGATCTTGTCAGATGGGGGTTGTAGGAGAGACAGATCTTGTCAGATGGGGGTTGTAGGAGAGACAGATGGGGGTTGTAGGAGAGACAGATCTTGTTAGATGGGGGTTGTAGGAGAGACAGATCTTGTCAGATGGGGGTTGTAGGAGAGACAGATCTTGTCAGATGGGGGTTGTAGGAGAGACAGATCTTGTCAGATGGGGGTTGTAGGAGAGACAGATCTTGTCAGATGGGGGTTGTAGGAGAGACAGATCTTGTCAGATGGGGGTTGTAGGAGAGACAGATCTTGTCAGATGGGGGTTGTAGGAGAGACAGATCTTGTCAGATGGGGGTTGTAGGAGAGACAGATCTTGTCAGATGGGGGTTGTAGGAGAGACAGATCTTGTTAGATGGTTGTAGGAGAGACAGATCTTGTCAGATGGGGGTTGTAGGAGAGACAGATCTTGTTAGATGGGGGTTGTAGGAGAGACAGATCTTGTCAGATGGGGGTTGTAGGAGAGACAGATCTTGTCAGATGGGGGTTGTAGGAGAGACAGATCTTGTCAGATGGGGGTTGTAGGAGAGACAGATCTTGTCAGATGGGGGTTGTAGGAGAGACAGATCTTGTCAGATGGGGGTTGTAGGAGAGACAGATCTTGTCAGATGGGGGTTGTAGGAGAGACAGATCTTGTTAGATGGGGGTTGTAGGAGAGACAGATCTTGTCAGATGGTTGTAGGAGAGACAGATCTTGTCAGATGGGGGTTGTAGGAGAGACAGTGAGAGTATGGAAATCACATTATGGCAAGATTTGAAAATGCATTTTCCTCAATTTAGTAATAGTCTTTGTTTTGAAAAAAAAAGCAAATTTTTCCATCTATTTAGTTATTATCTTTATTTTGAAAATCAAATTTTCTCATCTATTAGGTAATAGTCTTTATTTTGAAAAACAAATTTTCTCATCTATTTAGTTATTTATTTTGAAAAACAAATTTTCTCATCTATTAGAATCTAGGTAATAGTCTTTATTTTGTAAAAATGCTTTTTTTTTTTTTGCAGAGATGGAAAAAACGATATTTTAAACTCAAAGGGCGACGACTCTATTATACTAAAAACAGAAAGGTAGGCTTTTCAAATGTGTATATTCAATATCCAAATGCATAGAGTTGAATCTTTAGATACTGTTTTCATTAATATTGTAACTTTGAATTTATTTTAAACGAGTTGACCCGCGACGTAGTACACGGCGCCATCTAGTTGTTTATTTTCTGCTTATTATCAGCAATTCATAATTTGTGAATTCAACACTACCCCCTCCGGTCCTCCCCCCCCCCCCCCCTCCCGTCCAGTGAAAGCAGCCATTTACATTTACAGACAAAGAAAAGATCAATCATAAATTGTTACCTCCCCTTCGTTTCAAATAGTTTAATACTAATATATTAATACTATTTTAAACATTCGGTGGTGTTTTCTAACGTCTCTATGAAGAGAATTATATATATTTTAAATTGTTTTCACTCAAAGCAATTTTCACCATTGAAATGCCATTAATCCATTCCAACCCCCCTAAACGCCATCTTGTTGTTTTTTTACCTTGGATATCCAAGGTGTGACATCATCCAAGGTGTGACATCATCCAAGGGGTGGCACCATTCAAGGGGTGACACCATCAAAGGGGGTGACACCATAACAAAGTATAACTAAATTGAATTGGGAATCTGCTTTTTCCAGTTAGTTTAATAGCTTATTACAGTCAGATACAATATTAGACACAGAATGACACCATCAGGGATGGGGGTGACACCAAATTGGAGATATTTTCACAATATACACATTAGTAAATTGGGGTGACATCGTGAGTTACACCGTAGGGTGGCGTCCGACCAAGTGACGCCATTGATTATGGGATTTCAATAAAAAACTTCTAATTACATATCTTATACAATATTTAGTCGAACACAGATTAACTTGAATCACCATTCAAATTTTTTCTTTTACAAAAACAAAACTTGCAAACAGTGTTTTGTGGTGTTCAAATAAGTAAAAATAATCCTCATTGATACGGCGTTAGAAAAATTTAGCTCTGCTGAAGCCTTGCCAACAACTTCCTAAAGTATCATGTCGCCAACGGTGGCCGGAAAGAACCGCAACGGAAAAAAGCGCAACGGAAATAAGCGCACACGGAAAAAAGCGCAAAGAGAAAAAAGCCCACACGGAAAAAAGCGCAAAGAGAAAGCGCAAGAAAATAATAGGCATTGTGTAAAGCGATTATCGCCTGTATCGTGGTGAGGGGAATGCACATGGTAGTTGTACGCTTTAAATGGTAGTAGATCACGTGATCAAACACGACACTCTCACAGCAGCCCTAACAGTCATGTATAAATGTGTCATCTAGTCGATATAGGTATTTGTGCTAAATTTCTCTTTTGCACATTTTTCGTTGTTTTTTCTGGTTGCGCATTTTTCCGTTTGCGCTTTTTTCCGTTTGCGCTTTTTTCTGTGTGCGCTTTTTTCCGTTTGCGCTTTTTTCTGTTTGCGCTTTTTTCTGTGTGCGCTTTTTTCTGTTTGCGCTTTTTTCCGTTTGCGCTTTTTTCCGTTTGCGCTTTTTTCCGTTTGCGCTTTTTTCTGTGTGCGCTTTTTTCTGTTTGCGCTTTTTTCTGTTTGCGCTTTTTTCTGTTTGCGCTTTTTTCTGTTTGCGATTTTTTCTTTTTGCGCTTTTTTCTTTTTGCGCTTTTTTCTTTTTGCGCTTTTTTCTCTTTGCGCTTTTTTCCGTTTGCACTTTTTTCTCTTTGCGCTTTTTTCCGTTTGCGCTTATTTCTGTTTGCGCTTTTTTCTGTGTGCGCTTTTTTCTTTTTGCGCTTTTTTCTCTTTGCGCTTTTTTCTCTTTGCGCTTTTTTCTCTTTGCGCTTTTTTCTCTTTGCGCTTTTTTCCGTGTGCACTTTTTTCTCTTTGCGCTTTTTTCCGTGTGCGCTTATTTCCGTTGCGCTTTTTGTTTTGCGCTTTTTTCCGTTGCGTTTTTTTCCGTTGCGCTTCTTTCTGGGAACCGTCGCCAACTGATAGACTAAACCTTAGCAATGAAAAAAAAAACCTCATTAATATTTAGAAGAATATCTGAAATTCGGCTTTACTAACATCACTGGAAATTGAATCGAGAAGAAACAATGCATTCTGTGCTCTCATCAACGAGTCTATGAAACCTTCAAAACTTAAACGTCCTTTGAGACGAGTCATTCGAAACACACCAAAAAGATATGGAGTTCTTTCGTCGGCATGAAGTTAGTTGCTAACTTCAGATACTTGGTCGAACAGGAAGTTTTCACACAGCATTAGTGCAAGCATCAAATGAAGTCGCATTGCCAAGCAAAAAAACCTCTCACACAATAGAAGAATATCTCATCAAACCCTCAATGGTGAAATTAATTTTTGGGGATTTCAGTGCATAAAGATGCAACAAATATTTCTGTCTAATAATTATATTCAGCTCTTATAGCAGACATGTCCGTAGATGTTTAAGGATACATTTTAAGTGAAATCAAGCTTTCACCGTTTTTTGCTTTTTGAGTTGATGAATCAACGGCCATGAATTCGTGTTTGCAGTTGCTTGTCTTTGTGAAATATATTCATTCAGAAGATAGCAAAGAAGAGTTGCTATTTTGTGAAGCTATCATCGAGAAAATATAATAGGTTTTATGAAACTGGATGATTAAAATGGGAAAACGGCTGTGGGGTTTGTACGGATGGTGCGCCATCTATGTTTGGGTCAAGATCGGGCTTTCAGAAAACAGTAAAAGATTTAGCTCCCTAACCAAGGGGAATCTATTGCATGATTCACCGGTATGCCCTCGCCAGCAAGACTCTTCCATAAAACTCTCTTATGGCTGTCAAACGGAATGTTGCGAATCGTGTTTTTGAATTGAAAGATGAAATCAAGTTGTTTTTAGAAGTGCAAGGGAAACAACACCTTTTGATATACTTTTAACGACAAAGAGTGGTTGGAGAGAGTATCATGCCTAGCAGATATATTCAAACATCAACATAAGCTTAACCTGGAGCTTCATGGAAAATGAACAAATGGTATCTATTTTCATGATTATCAAAGCTGCAAAATTGGCGAAGAAAAATAAATCTTGGAAATATTGCCATGCTTAATGAGTATGTTTGTGAGGTAAATACAAATTTGAAAGAGGAGTTTTCTGGGCATCTTGAATCTCTTGGCATCGAACTGCAGCGTTATCCCTGTGCTGAAAGAAGAAGAATCTGCATTGACACGTTACCCATTCTCTGCTTCCCTTGATTTTTCGAGCAATCCCAATGAATTACAAGATGGATTCTTGAATGTGCGGAATGATTCCGCGTCAGATGAAAAACTGCTCACACAATTTTGGTGTAGTATGCAACATTCATACCCAAACATGAAATTGATTGCCTTTCGAGTTTTAGTTCCTTTTGTGTCTACATATCTTTGCAAGAATAGATTTTCAACACCTAACCCTAACCCTAAAAGTTATCAAGAATAATTCATATTGAAAGTTCACTAGAAAATCTTATTTAAGTAATGATTAATTTCCTTACTAATTTCGACTTTTTAATTCTATGGGGGTCGCAGATCACTTAATTTTTATAAAAGGGGGTCGCCACTCTAATATATATATATATATATATATATATATATACGAGCCGACCCGCGGCGTATCATACGCCGCTATTTATTTGTTTTATTATCTAATTTTCAGTAATCCATAATTTGTGAATTCGACAGTACCAATGCTGCCACTGAAAATATTTGCTTCAAAACACTATCAGTAGCTCGTTAAGGACGATACCCCCCCTCCTTTCCCCAACCCCTACCCATTGAAAGCAAATTCCTCGTAGTTATCTCCCCTACGTTTAAAATCGTTTCAAACTGCATTATCTGCCCCTTATAGCAGTCACTAAACCCGGCACTACGATTGTAAACATTTAGCGTGAACCACAGTTCGCCAGACCATGTAGGGGTGGGGGTGGTAGGGAGCGCGCTTACAGCTTGGTGTTTTCTATGCTCTCCAAGAAGAGAATTATATATATACGAGCCGACCCGCGGCATATCATACGCCGCTATTTAGTTGTTTTATTATCTAATTTTCAGTAATTCATAATTTGTGAATTCGACAGTACCAATGCTGCCACTGAAAATATTTGCTTCAAAACACTATCAGTAGCTCGTTAAGGACGATACCCCCCTCCTCGCCCCCCTCCGTTAAAGTTAGTTAACCCCCCCCCCCCTCTACCCTACGTTTAAAATAGTTTCAAACTAAATTATCTGCCCCTAATAATCGTCACTAAACCCGACTCTGCTTGTAAACATTTAGCGTGAACTACAGCTCACCAGACCATGTAGGGGTGGGGTGGTAGGGAGCTCGCTTACAGCTTGTTTTCTAGCGTCTCCCAGAAGAGAATATTACATATATATATATATATATATATATATATATATATATATATATATATATATATATATATATATATATATATATATATATATATATATATATATATATATATATATATATATATATATGTGTGTGTGTGTGTGTGTGTGTGTTACGGTCAAAGCCCAAAGTGCGGCCAAAGCGCGGATTGGGCGGCAAAGGCGCGCATTGGCCGGCTCTCTTGGCCAAAGCCCGAAGAACTTAGCACTAAGATTGTATTGCGCGCACTGGCCGGGACGCACTGGCCAAAGTCCGAAGCGCTTAAACTTGACAGCGTATTTTGTACATTGGCTGGCCAATGCGCGCACTGGCTGGGATGTCCTGGCCAATGTTCTATCTAGACTACGTTGTGATCGCGTTTTCATTATTCTAGGTGCGGTTTCATTGTGAGTAACGTTTGATATGAAAACTATGTTTTTTAGACCATTTGACTACAACACTACATGGAAAACCAAACAATAGCTTTATTCTCAGCAAAGACAAATACATTGCTATTATAGAGGACGTTAAACAGGCTAAAGCAAAGCAGACAAATCAAACTGTTGACTTTCGTCGACTAAACAAATATGATGTTATTGTAGTTGACGGTAAAGAGTTATTCGACTTGATCAATGAAACTCACTTGAAAATTGGACATGGAGGTCGAACACGGAT